GGCTCCCTCCCCTTTCCAAGATGGGAAACTGAGGCCCAGAGAGGCTCTGCAGCCGAGGCAGGCAACGAACGGTGCTCCCGAGCTCCAATCCTGCACTGTAACCAAGCGGCGCTGCCCCCTGTGGCTCTCCCGCCCCACATACCTGGTTTTCCTCCTGCACCCCAGCCAGGTAGTTGAAGGCACTTTGCATCTCTTCGGCGGAGAAGCTGCGGCAGAGGAAATCCTTCACCAGGCTGAACAGGGACATCTGCACGGTCTTCACGTTGTCCGTGGGAAGCGGCGTCTCCTTCTGTGCGCTGCGTGGGACAGGCAGGGACTTGACACCACACACACGCCTGCCCCCGCCCCCTCCAGTCCCAGGCTGGAGCCGCCTTGCCTAGCGGGGCGTGTGTGACAGGCACTCTGGGGCGGCAGGAATCCACAGCCAGGGGTGACCCACGGAAGGGGATGGAGTGCGAATCTCACGGCGCACGCTGGGGACGGGGGACCCGAAAGCAGGAGCAGAAGCGGCAGGAACGGGGCAAAGCGTTCTTGCCAGAGAGTTCGTTCTCCTCCAGCCCCAAGGAGCAGCCACAGAACAGCTGCTGTGGGCGGTGGGCAATGTCTCCTCTAACGGTTTCCAGCCGTGTGCAGAATAATTTTTGTGACGTGCACCAAGGCACGTGGGAATGCGCACCAGCAGCAGAAATGCACGCTGCCGGCCGTGGGCACAGTGCGTGCTCAGCTAATCAGTTGGGCATTTAAATCCCCGGCTTACCAGGAACACTGGCGGTGGGTGGCCGAAGACTTGGGGGCGGGGGGGTAAACCTCTCCTAACCCATGCCGTAGCCCCTCCCAGGAGAGTGATAGGTTTTTGGGGGGGTAGGCCGGGCTCTTCCAGCCATGGGGGAGGGGCCCTCAGGGTTCTGGTGCAGGGGCCTTAAAGTGGGGATTTCCCCAATGCCCAAGCGGCTTGCATCCTAGCAGCCTCCCCCAGCTTGCGGAAGCCCCCGGCAGAGGAGAAAGCAATGGAAGCGTGCGGGGCCCAGAGAACAGCTCCTCTGACTGCCCTGTGCCAAGGAGCCGGTCGCTGCCCCGTTAGCTCACCCGTAATAGGCGCCAATGGA